GCCGATGTTGAGTTGATTTGAACGAGCCAGAATCATTGTGGTGTACGTCACATTTTCCTCATTATGAGGAACAAGGAGCGTTAGTTTTTACTAATACGTATATTGTTCACTGACCAAATCTATTGTTCAGACTATTTAGAGTTTAGTTAATTTATAGTGTCTTTTTAACAATTTGGCATGTATAGATTGCATTTTCCGTTATAAGTGGAAATTTTAGAAAATGTGACTTACGCCACTATGATTCTAACCCACACATCTAGAAGAATTTTAAAGATTCTAACTTCGTGACTACGATTGGTCTTTCGATAGTAAACAATTATACTGTGAATCTTTGATTTGTTGGTTGTCAATAGAATATTTGAACAATCGTGAGACAATAAATTCATGATCGTTTTCTCTGATATTTGCGCTGTTTTTTGCTTTATCTTTTCGTTTATTTTAGAAACGCATAAAAATTGATGATGTACTGGAAATACGCGTGAATGAAGATAATGAGTAAATTGTGTTCTAAAATGAATCATCGATTTAGTGTCGATGGATCGATGAATCATCGAGTTTGTCTTTTTGTATAAAAACTAACTTTTATTTTTATTATTTTTGATATTTTAAGGAATAGAATATAGAAAAGTAATAATGAGAAATAGTTTGTAGTTTTTGGAGGGATCGTATAAACTAAACTAACTATACAAACAAATTAATTATTGATTTCGCATAGCTATCAGTACTTTAAGAGATTATTATAGTATTTTAAGAAGTTGTACGCTAATTTATATTAACATGCCAGGTTCCCAAAATGGCGTGTTAATATCTTTTCATTCGCAGAACCATTTTTACAGAACCAGAGCAGAACCATTTTTACTCGATGCGTTACCCATTATGGATAATTAGCTAAATTATTAAATGTGGAATATTAACCTGTATATTGTCTTCATTTTTAATTCTACCAACAGTCCTCGGCATACCTGAGGGGCCCGTTAGTATCATCATGAAAGTTGAGTTTCTATTTTTGTCAGGCAGACGCGTACCCCGTGTCGTTCCTGTACTCGAATTTGAAATTCAAATCGGTGTATTGTGGCTACGAATTTGCGTACGCATCGCGCGATTATAAAAATATTTTCTCATAAATCTATGATATAATGGAGCTAACAGAATTTCCGTTTTATTACGCCATCCGTGAAATATCGCTATTCAAACTTTCCGAGTGAACAATTTGGGAGCATGGAATTTATCTGTGAAAGTCATCAAGAATAGAATGCTTTTAAAAATACACACAATAACAAAAAGTAATAATAATCTATTGATTGAGGTTATTGTTAATAGCCTATTGAGAGTAACAGTTGATGGAGATTAGTCTCTTTCTTAATTTATAGTCAACGATAAACGCTTTCTAACATCCAACAGTAATAACCTGATGTTGGCGCTCTACTAACGTACACAACAAGCGTACGTCGTGCTCCTTATGCGGGCGAAAGTGCAACGATTTACGTAGTCCAGTTTGCCGATTATTCCTATGCATTATCTGCATGTGCATCCAGCACCGCCAGTAGCGTAGGCGAAAGACAAATCCGGCGGACATTACTATTTGCCATCGACGATCTTTCGACGAATCGATCTTTAGACAGTCGTAAAAAGATGATTTCAAATCATATAGGACCTAAAGTATATTATTATTTCACCAGTTTCTGACAATTGATTGAGATTTTGTGATGCTTATGAAAAATTTGAACTACAAGGATCGTTACTTCTAGTTAAGACTGCGGATCATTGTGCAATTTTAAAATGTATTTTTAGACTGCGGATCTTTATGTAAAACAAGCTGCAGCGATTCCATGAAACAGAGGCTAAATAAAAATGTATTTCATCACTGTATTTTAATCAATTGAAAATAATATTACAACAATCTTGAATTCTTCCAATATTTTGTTTCTAATATTTCGTGTTTCATCCACCTATTTTTTGCAAAAAATATAATGTAAGTACAAGTAATATGATCCGAATGACATTCATATAACACGAATTTGTTTTAATCAGCACTAAAAGTATTAAAATCTATACGAAAACTAACGAGTTTAGAAGGAGTACTTTAAAAATTATATCGGCAGAAGATTACTAAGTTAAATTATAAATAATTCAAGAGCTCTATGAGCGACTTTAAACGTTTGATATTCAATGAAAACTATAAACACTTATTTCACTTAAAATTTTAATGAAGGAAAGTCCCGCGCAGTTTGCATTAAGCATTGGCGGTAGAATTATTTAAGATTATTTAAATAATCAATTAAAACGATATTACTCTAACGGCTATAAAACGATTTAAATCAAGCAATCTGGGCGATATTCCCGAATCAAATCTGAGAATACGGATGTTAAATCGATCCCGGCGCGGTGCGTCGATAGGACCGATATCGGCCGGCGTTTCTACGCCATTGGCATCGGTTGTTTCCTTGCCCTTCTACACACCGTACGGCTATGTATATAATTTACAACTGTGCAGCGAACTGGGTGTATCCATATCCCATTTGTATTCGGCATTACGGACGCATAGATCGTACGGGAAATCGCGTTTCTATTTCCGGCAATATCATATCCGTCACGGAACGGACGTTTGTTGCTGGTGGCTGCGGTCGCGACGCTTTCGATTCCGCGGTCGTTCTCCGGCTCTCCGAAGAAAAACCGGCTGGAAAGCGAACGGGAATCGAGGCTAGGCACTGCTACACGATATTACGGCGACGGAATTAAATGTATATCCGATGCACACAGATCCGTGGAACCGTTTCACGGAGCCCGGAGCCCACCGCAATGACGAAACAATCAGCAAACTGTGTCATCTTTGTTCTGGCCCGGCCGCTAACATCCTACGAGCTTATATCAACGGAATTCCTTCTCCTGATCTGAGCCATCCAACCGCTGTCTGTTCCAGTGATGAATAATTGCTCGATATAGTCGCGCAGTCTAAGATAATTTGGGAAACTTGCCCGAGGTTCCTTTTTAATTGTGTTTTAAAGAATGTGGTCTCATCTTTCGTTTCCTCGTTTACGAACAAGCCGCGACGTTAGATAATGTCTGAAGTCTGAATGCTGAATAAATGTTAACAATAAGGCTTCTTAAATTGATTTTCCCAAAAAGAAATTACTTTGCCATCCACAAATGTGGATAAATTTGTTTCCTCGTTTACGAAGAAGTCATAATATGAAACAACAATTAAATCGATGCTTCGAACATGTAAGTATAGTAGGTATAGTTGTAAGTATATAGTAGGGCTTCGGTATATGCAGTATGTAAAGAAAGCACCGTTAACGCAAATCATTTACAGTTCAAGCGTTGTTTGCGTTTCTCTCACGGGACTTCTTTCCGTAAGTGTTCTAAGATAACTCGTTCTAAGGAACTTTTCCCTCAACTTATTGCAGCAGCTCCTGAGGGTAACGTTTCGTTTCGTAAAAACTCCTTTCAAGTTCGAACAGAATTTGAAGCAGAAAACGAAAGATAACTATATCTCGATCCGTTGGTAAATGAAAGTAGCAAACGGAACGGATTGCTCGGGAATAATATCCATCTGCTTTATGATCCGCGAGCGGTCGAAGCGAGATGAGGATACTACACAATTACGTTTTGTTACGAGGATCGAAATTCAATAAAATAAATTGCACGGCAAGGGAGTGATACATCGCAAAATTCTGTGTCTCCGTGTTTACATCGATAGAGAAGGTCGGACCGGGTCCACGGTATCCGAGTAGAAATGCGTAAGGGTTTCATATATTCTAGCCGGCCTGCCAAACAAAGATCAACCCGATAGCGGCATCAACCGAACGGACACATACACGCGTACCACTATCAGTTTTACATGTGTACACCGTGCATCCTCGTTCAATCTCCTTTATGTCCGGCAAGTTTCAGGAACTGCTTTGCTTTGTCAATCGATACAGCCGTACAGGTCCTATCCGCTGCGATACGTTTGTCCCACCGGTTCTACCCACCTTGACCCTACATAGTTCGTTTCCCGCGTCTGATCTTCCACATGGAAGTTGCTTACTGCCTATCGTTGGCTGAACTATCATCCGGAACGCTCCTCACAATTTTCTCGAAATGCTCCGATGCCCTTGAATCCATCGCAATTATACGCGAGCGAGGTGTCGCTTTGAATGCGATAGTCGATCTGTCCAAGCACTTTCGCTCGTTTTCATTTTTCATCCGATTGAAGATGTTTGACTTTTTTTTACGAAAATTTTTCTACGAAATTAGATCAGGGTTAGCTGAGATTAGGTTTCATTCCTAACTTTTATACTTTCTATTTTTTCCCTCACTTTTATACTTTACTACCTTTAGTACTTTCCTTTGCTATTTTTTATGTCTGGCTTGGATTTCCTTTGCTATTTTTTATGTCTGGCTTGGATTTCCTTTGCAGAATTCGACCGAAAAAGTTAAACCGGCGATATTAACGTTTGAATAATCTAAAAGGAGTGATTTTTAAACCTCCTAAGCGATTTTCACCTTATTTCGACATTTTTTGACATGTTTTGAATGCGAGATTCGGCCTGTCATCCTAGAGCATCTTCGGATCGATGATCAATCTGATTAGTAAGACTTCGATTCGACTGTACCGGCATTAAAACTTCAATTCACTGTTAGATCGTTGACGTCTGTACTTTGCGAACATTTCTGAGCAATTTCATGTAAATGCTCGCATAATTATGAAAATTACAAGTCTCTAAGGACGATCATCATAAATAGATTGGTCTTTCTGCAAAATAAATTCTCATAGATAGCGTCAAATTTTTATATTTTTAAGCTTTTGAAACTGTGACATATAGTTTTTTTTCTTAGAGAGATGTGTCATTGCTGAATACGAGACGAAAATAGTGTAATTACTAGACTGATTTTATGGATTTCATGCATTTATGGCAAAAACGACAATTCATAATTTAAAACAATGAAAATATTAAAAGAAATTTCCTACTTACTAAAGTGATTCAAGAAGGGAAAAAATGTGTGCTTCGTTTGTCTTGCAATTTGGGTAGACAATTTTTATTTTGCATAATGGTCCGTAGTCTGGTAATTACGAAAACATGAATGACAAGAGACCGCTTTACGCACTCTGGTTTTTTTTTCAGGTTGGCGTCGGGAACGCCGGTTGATCAGGGATCGGAAGAAATCTCTTAAGATTCCTTAAAAGTCGAAACTCAAGAGGTGGAAGGGAGGTCTCCGGCGTAACTCGGGGAAGTTCGTTCCGCTAGATTCTCCTCGGCTTCCATGTACCTTACCTCCACTCGAACCTACGAGAGCCAAGAATGTTAGGGGGTGGCGGATAGGTTAGATACGCTCGTAAAACCATCGTCCCATAAAACCGGCTAGTTCACCGGCTACCGAGACGCCCATCAACCATTCCTTACATGGTCTAATTCCGAGCCGACCTCGCATCCTTCTCGCGTATGTCTCATATACGCTCGTACGTGTGATCATCGTCCCTCCGTGAGGGTGCAATACGCCTCGGCTGTGTTCGGGAGCATCTTCCGCCGCTATCATACTTCTGGAAGTGTACAGGGTGATTTCAGAAAAGAGTCGAACGGTTCGGGAACGATGCTTCAAACAGCCGAGTCTCTATTTTGTAAGCTTGTTGGACACGTTGGGCTACAGAGACCGATATCTTTCTCGAGCAGATTCCCTGAAATTGGAGGTTTTTTGAAAAATTTCGGAGAGCTCGACAAATTGTTTTGGCAATCGAAAACACCGCGACTCGATTGCGCAGGATTTCCTCTTTTCAACGAGACCGGAACAAAGGTCGTACGATTTTTTGGAAACATTTTGTGAAAGGTAGAGCCGCAGCAGATCAATTTGAAACTTGTGGGGCCAAAAATCGAGATCCGGAATAAAACAAATTTGACGAATCTCAAAACGTTGTAACTTTGTTGTGGATGGTTATGTAACAATCGTTTTAGGCTCATTTTAGTGGCCTAAGTTTCTACTTTGCCCATGTGATGATTATTTTCGTCTAGAGTAGCTGTGACATTTCTGAAACTCGGGTTTTTGGAAAATTTTGGAGAGACTTGTAGAACGCATCAAATTTTTTAGGCGATCGATACCAGCACGGTTCAATAGCGTAAGGTTTTCTCTTTCCGACGGGTCCAAAACGGTCATTGCACGATTTTTTGGAGCCATTATGTGGAAATTGAAGCCACAGCAGATCAATTTTTGATCAAAAACCGTGGCAAAAACTTAAAAAAATTATATTATGATGGAATAAAAATGGCTGAGTCGGTGTAAATAATCAGTGCGTGATTCTGACGTTATATTAAGAAGTAAAAATAATATTTGAAAGATCATTTTCAATTTACATCCATTAACGAACGCGACATCGATTATTTTCTATGAGAACAGATAAATTATCTAGGTGAACGTTCACGAACACTTATTATAGGGAAAGAACTACATCTGTCTTCGTTATACCTGTCTCATTCGATTAAAAATGAACGTAGTGACGCTCCCATGGCACCATTATTAAGCTCACTTCAAATCTGGTAGACCTCAGGACATTTATTTTACCTTTTTCATATTGAGCAACGATGTGGCTTGACACTATTTCAATTAAATTTTGTTTTTTAACTTTTCAGAGATACAGTGATATCACTTTTCTTGAATTTAAAAAAATATTGATTCTACTATAAACCAGAGTCATATTTCCAACTATAAAAATGAGTCATAAAATAAGTAGAAGAAGTAATAACTAAAAATAAATAAGGAATGGACAAAGGTGTTCATTGGTGTACTATCTAATACCTAATTTTCGATTTATGTTAAATTATATTATGTATATCAAAAAAGTATGTGCCTGAAAAATATAAAATACCTGATAACACCATGTGTACACTTCTTGCAACTAATACCGTAACAAAATATCGTGAACATATTAAAATACGATATTAAAAGCGTGTTTAATTTTCGAAATAAAACTAAAGTAATATCTTCAAATATTACTAAAATGCGAAGAAAGCGATGCATCTCCACTTTCACGTGCTACAAAATCGAATGGGGTCATTTTGATCTCATGGCATGCGCTCGCATGTTGAAGCAAGCTTAAAAGATTATTGAAATTGAAGTTGGATTATACGAAATGAAATTAATTAGAAGAGGAAGTCGACGCGGGAAAATAACCCCTTCCCATTTCTCTAAGCCTGGACCATGACCATGCTCAGCCAAGGGTAGTCCAGAGTCACAAAGGAGGAAGGAGGAGTTCCCTCGGGCCCGGAAACCTCAGGAGAACTAAGGACTTTCGCTTGCAGACTCCTTTTATAGACGCGAGTACGGTTCGCAGCTCTGTTGCGCAGAAAATTGCGCGGTATACAGTGATTCAACATCGATAAATGTCATATACAGTGACTCTAATTAACCCTTTGCGGTCCAAATTGTTTCCTTCCATTTATTTCAACGTTTCTTATAGCGTTATTCTTATATAAAACTATGCAACCTGTCTGCATCTGCTGAGAAATACTACAATTATTCTTTACATTCCACGCAATTGTAATTGTAAATAGTGTAAATCAGCGAAATTAGTGCAAAAATTAATGTCTAGTCGATGAATAAATATTCTGACATCTTCCAAAGGAGAATAAATGTATTATTATATTGTTACAAATGAGTTGAAACGACATGATTTTTATTTAAGAAATAAAATAATTACTTCATGCTAGATTGTAGATGTCAAGGTGATTTTTTTAAAAATTGCAATTCGCTAGAAGAATCACCGTATTGGCACAGTTTTTCTAAAGAATGTTGTGTATTCTGCAAACTATTATTGAATACAATTAATAGAAATGCAGATACAAAATAATTTATAACGTCGAGAGTTTGTAACAAGTCTCCGGTTTGAATAAATTCCATTTTGCATGGACGATTGAATAAAGGGTTGGACTTTAATGTTTGTGCAATGTACCAGTTATTAAATGTATTATTTAAATGGAATATAATTTGTAAATGCTTTTTCTGCATATTTTTCTTGCGAATTCACAAAGGACTGTAAAAAGCTGTATTCTGCAGTTAATTTATTACGAAAAGACAGAAGAAGTTGACAATTCATAATTTCCCATTACGAACGCCGAGAATTGTCATCTCCATTGTCCTATTTTGTTAATTTTCAATCGAATTTAACAGCCACAAATGTTTGATAACGAACGAGAAAAATATTAAACGAATGGCAGTGAGCAAAAAAAAACAGAGACCATGACTTAAGCAGAATGAAAAGTTTAAACTCCAATCCAGAGAGGTTACATATTTCCGTTGTTGCACATTGTTGCGGTAGACTGTCATGTAGGAATACCGAGAGTTCAACTTTAAAATGTAATTTACAAAGCCGCGAACAGTATTGAAAATTGGTATTCCCGCGAAATAAATTCGATGCGAAATAATGTTCGGCAAACATTTCGCGTTTATTCTGGATCGTGTCATTTTCATTAATAAAGACTACAATGAAATATTAATCGTCGGTTACGCGATAAAGCACTTAATTCTGGACACGTGCAAATAAGTTCTGGGTCTATTTGAATCCCGGATAATCCGGCGGCGTGGATTCTGTGGATTCGCACTCATGCCAAACTAGCAGTCACTTGGACCGACTGCACAATCTATGAGAGCGACCGGCGGAATTTCATTAGCATCGAACTGCTGCCATTGAACTGTCCAAGTCTGCTATTCGTACCAGGACTTCTTCCTGGCGGACTTGTCTATCCGTCCTAGAAAGCTCTCATACGAGTTCCAGATGCCAGCAGCATCCATCGATAAGATATCGCGTCTTGGCCAGCTCTGACAACAAGATTAAAAAATAATAGTGCCCTATAAAATCGTTTGAAAATTCAAATTTCTCGCTGTATTATAAAATAAACTCGAAAACATGCTTTATTGCCAATATGTTCGATAATTATAAAATTTTCAGTGTTTCTTTATGAGAAATTTATTTCTGTTAAATTACACGCTTTTGAAAGCATTGGATTTTTTGAATGTAACGTTATTGCGAAATTGTTCCTTTTTATATCGTTTAATTAGCTGGTTGTTGGCAGTTATGACAAAATGAAAAAATAAAATACAAAATTGTAAAGACATTCGTTAAAATTATTGAAAGCAAGAATTCATTTTCATTTCGTTCCTGTTTCGTAAAATAGAGTTAGAATAGTTTTTCTTTGCACATAGATCTAAAAATTCAACTACATTCAATAATTAGATTTAAAATAAATTTAAAATACATTTTAAGTAAATTCAAAATAAATTTCAGCATCTATTAGATGGTTTTCTTCAGCAAGAACATTTAATTTAGAAAAAGAACGAAGAGCATCCGGAATTCCGGTAAAATCATTGCAGAAAATGCAGTCTAGAGTATATTTCCCAATTTGCAACCGTAAATGTATTGAGGACCGCGTAATTAAATTTCATTTCGGACCCATTTCATTACGTCGACACGGGTAACAGTTTTGTTAAGGTTTCGCCCGGGAATTGCATTAATCTCCTTCGTATTCCGTGCACGTACAATGTGAGAATGTCTTATCAAAGTTGATCTTGGACTATTCCCAGCAAACACAAACTGTCGGCATTTTAACGAACCAATACAGTGCCAAATGTAACTGAAATCAATCGATACGGTCTCCTGGCTGTTACTACGCAATTTGTCTAAACCAATTCGATATTGTTCCTCTCAACAACAACACGCCCTTACTAATAAATAGTTTTTGTTACGTGTTCCGTGGAAGCTGAAACTTCGTGATAGGCTTTGTTGACGGGAATTTGTGTCTTCAGCTTGCTACGAGATCTCATTGTGTTCGGTCGAGGTTCTACATTTTCCTTACACAATATTAATGTTACCGTTCGGAAAATAGTTTCTGTTTTCGAATTTTTATTAAAAATAGCTGTTTATTTATTCGACTGTTTTGAATTCTGTGAGCAAATTGGTGAATTATCTTGGTGCATCTGTTAATCATTTAGTCCTTAAGCTTGATAGGGAATTCTTTAGTTTTGGAATTCTGGGTTACCTTGAAATCACCAACAATGTTTTTTCATCGACGCGATTTCTCCTACATTGTTTATATACTGAAACCGCCAATATATTTCAATATATTGAAATCGCCAACAAATGTTATTTCAAGGTAACCCGGATCACGTGGTAGGTAAGATCCGGATATTTAAGAAACTCCCACGAGCCAAAGACTACGTTCATGTATCTCGACCGCGAGGGGAATAGGTGCGCAATTAACATAATACGTAAATCCGCTTAGCGGGTATAATCTGTCGGTTCAAGTGTCATCCGAAAACAGCGGAAGACACGTTACCGTGATCGTACGGCAAGAAGGTTGCGTGTGCCAGGATTACGACGTTAACATGCGTGTTACACAGTGTAAGCGCGTGTTAACGAGGGCGTAATTCAATTCAAAGAGGCAGCTACATTGATTCCGAGGAAACTGCGAAGTCAATGCGGTGGTTCCTGGAAATAAGACGACGTCGGTGACCGGAGGATCTGGTACAAAGACACTTAGCGATTCAGCTTGAGTCCATTCTCTTCGTTCTAGTTCCCCGAAATTCGAGAAAGGATTTTTCGAACACTTCTCTTTGACTTGTTTCTGGGGGTAGTAGACATTTCAAATTTAAACAATACCTGATGGTATTTGTTTGACTTTTTGACACTGCAAGACGGAATAGGATATTTCTGCTAGTGTCATCCTCAATTTTCTTTCAACTTTCTCTTGAATTATTTTGTGGGTCTACAGTCCTCGTTTGAAAACACGCAATGCAATGATATATTTGTTTTGACATTAATCGCAATTAACGATTAAAGTAGAAATCCTCCTCTCCAGTACAAA